GGGCCGCCGGACACGGGAGGACAGTGGAGTAGTGAGTAAGGACAGGACCCCTAGAGGGGTCTGCCAGAGAGACTGCAAGTGGCTGGCCAAGCGGCGTGAGTGTGGTGCGGTCTCGAAAGAAGGAGCGAGAAGCCCCCGAGTCAAGGGTGAAGGTGTGGGAGGCCGAAGCCGACGCAGTACCTGAGAGAGCAGACTCACCAGCACCTGAGGGAGCAGACGCACGAGCACCAAGAGCAGCAGCCTCGCTAGCACCTAGAGCAGTAGCCTCACCAGTACCTAGAGCAGCAGTCTCAATGCTCGGGTCGGGCGGAAAACACCGGTAACAGTCACCCTCATCAATAATAGTCACAGCATATATGGCAGCAAGAATAGCATCAAAGTCAAGGTCAAAGACAGTTACTCCCGCCCTAGAAAGCTCGCCCCAGCGGGGGACCTCAGTGGCCTCCGGGAACAGGTGACGCCAAGCGTCCGTCAGGCGGCCAAAGCAGCGCTGGGTGGAGTGAGCACCCCCGCACTGCTCACCTGCGCGGTTGCCGGTGCGTAGGACGTAGGTGCACGGACCAGTACCCCCACCCCGCTGGCGTGCAGCGTACCACTCACGGAGCTGCTGAGGGGGGGGGGGGGATGTCACCGGTGCGCTGCAGCTGCTGCTGCTGCTGGCGCTGACCACCACCGGAGCCGACCCTCTGTGCAGCGCCACCCCGACCAGCTCCACCTCCACCGCCACCGCCTCCTCCACCGCCGCCACCTCCGCCACCTTCGCTCCCACCGCCACCGCCGCCGCCGCCTTCGCCTCCATTGCCGCCACCGACACCTCCACCCCCGCCACCACCCCCACCGCCACCCCCACCCCCTCCACCGCCTCCACCGCCTCCTCCACCGCCTCCTCCACCGCCCCCGGTAGCTCCTCCAGCGCCCCTGCCCCCCTTGCCCTTGCCAGGGCGGCGTCTCCCGCTATGGGTAGACGCCACACCGACCGACTCAAGCTCAACGAGGTCGGCCGCAGCAGCAGAGGCAACAGAGGGCAAAAGGGGGGAGGGGGAACACCCCTCAAAGATGGGGGTGCGAGGGTCACCACGAGAGGCTCCTACACCTACTATGCTCTTCTCTGCTGCTAGGAGGGCCTTCTCAAGGAGGTCAACGGTGAGAGTGGTGGGGCAAACTGAGAAGAAGTGGTCCATGACTACGCGAAGAGAGTCAGGGAGCCGGGTGACTATGTAGTAGAGGGTGATGTACATGGCGGGGGGGTTCTTGGCACAGAATTCAGCAGGAAGCGCAGCGCGGTAGCGAGTGTTACTAGTGCGGAGGTGCGTAATGAGGTCAGCGACTGTGGGAAAGGCAGCAAGGTCAGGGAAGAGGTACGGTAGCATGAGGCGGCTCAGTGCAGCACTGGCAGGGGAGGAGTAGCGTGCAACTACAGCATCGTACAAGGTCTGAGCACTCTTGTACTGACTAAAGTGCGCACGCTTAGAGGTAGGCAGGTGGCGACGCACAGCAATACGTGCAGCAGCATCGCGTGTGGCCCACTGTGAGCGAACAGTGGCGTTAGCATCAGCAGCAGGGGCAGGAGAGGCGCAAGAGGTGAGGTCAAAGAGGGAGAGACCGTCTGCCCTATCGCACTGTAGGAAAAGCTGCAGGTCATCTACCCAGACGTCAAAGTCAATGGCCTGACCCTCAGCGTGAAAAGCGAGGACACTAGGGGTAGCCATGACAGCAGTAGACTAGCAGCGCGAACGGTAGGGTAAGGGCAGTGCAGTGACAGAGGCGCTGCTCTTACCGGACAGGGCGGCTCGGGCAGTCCGGCGGCTCGGGCAGTCCGGCGGCTCGGCGGCTCGGCAACTGGGCGGCTCGGCGGCTCGGTGACTGGGCGTCTCGGCGGCTCGGCTTGGGCGGCTGGGCTGCTTGGCGGCTCGGCTGCTCGGCGGCTCGGCGGCTCGGCGGTTGGCTGCTGGGCGGCTCGACGGCTCGGCTGCTGGGCGACTTGGCGGCTCGGCTGCTGGGCGGCTCGGCGGCTCGGCTGCTGGGCGGCTCGGCTGCTCGGCGGCTCGGCTGCTGGGCGGCTGTGCCGCTAAGGAAGGCGGGGCCGCGAGGGGCGGCGGGGCCGCTGAAGTGAGCGGCAACGGGGCCACAGAGGAGGCGGCGGGAGGGCCGCTGAAGGGGCGGCGTCGAGGCCGCTGCAGGGGTGGCGACGGGGCCGCTGAAGAAGGCGGTGGGGCCGCTGAAAGGGCGGCGACGGGACGTAAGGGGAGGGCGGCGACGGGGCTGCCGTAAGGGTGGCGACGGGGCCGCTATAAGGGCGGCGACGGGGCCGCTGTAAGGGCGGCGACAGGCCGTAAGGGGAGGGCGGCGACGGGCCGTAAGGGGAGGGCGGCGACGGGACCGCTGCAAGGGCAGGGACGGGGCAGTTGTAAGGGCGGCGACGGGGCCGTAGGTGAAAGGGCGGCGACGGGCCACAGGGGGAGGGCGGCGACGGGCCGCTGAGGGCGGTACGACGGGGCCGCGATGGGGCCACGAAGGGGCGGCGCGACGCGGCCGCGAAGGGCGGCTCGACGGAACCGCTAAGGGCGGCGCGATTGGCCGCTAAGGGCGACGCGACGGGGCCGCTAGGGAAGGCGCGACCCTAAGCGCGCTTCGGGCAGGGGCGAGACACGCCCCGGGCAGGAAAAAAAAGTCGGTGGGCCCTAGGAACAGTTCCCACTTGGGAACCTGCTCAATACCATGAGAAAAGAGAACGAGAATGAAATGACTAAGGGAAAGTTGGGTACAAGTACAAACCCCAGAAAGCTGTACCCCATATGTGCTACCCCACTATAACCTACAGTAGCTATGTCATATAAATCTGACATCTGACACTCCGCTGTATACCCTCAGCGTGCATTCCTCCGGGGTCCCTCGACTAAGCATCAGCACCATGGACTGCCAGGTCTTGGGCATCCACTTCGCTTCCCTGCGGTCTGCGGTCATCAGCAGGTATCGTTCTGCTATCAGTCGCCCTGGCTTGTGCAGCTGTAACTTCTCCGCCAACCGCCTCACGATAAGCACATGCGCTGCCTCAGTATCCACAATCGCCCGTTGAGCTTTTAACCCCCCAACTGTGATCGCCCCTGGTTCAATCGTTTGGACCGTAGCTTGACAGATCATTCATTCTTGCGGGTGCCGATATACTGCCCCTTCCGCCTCCACACTCTCGCTGGTCTCCTCCTCGGCCCGTCTTCCCGCCGTTCATCCTCCCGAAACAGCTGTCTTTGCGCAGCTCCCCTCAAGCCCAATTCTTCCCGATCTCGGGCTAGCTGGGCCATCAACATGAATTCCGGCTCATTCGGCTCTTCCTCCTCCTGCGCCACCATTTCGGGTTGCTTCTGTTCTGCTGCCTCTGGATCCGCTAGCTGCGCCCGCAGGCACGCCATGGTGGCCTGCCTATCCTCTCCTCCTTCTGTCCCCCGTCGCTCCCTTCGGTTCTCGTAGCAATCTGCCTCCTAGTAGCGCCTCCGCCCGCAACGAGCGCAGACTGGCGCTCCTGGGCACTCCCGTCGCATATGATCGCGGCTCCTGCACAACGAACACGCCGCCAGGTTATGACAATCCCTTCGTAGGTGCCCTGGTAGCCCGCAGTTGTGGAAGCGTTGAGCTTCCTCTCTCCCTCTATCTTCCAGTTCCGGGTATGCGGAAGTCGTTGCCAATGCCGGCCGCCTTCTCTCTGGTCCTCTATCCACTATGCGCTCCACCTCATAGAGGCGACGCCCGGTTTCCAAGCGTTTGATGATCTCGTACGCATCCTTCAGCATGGCTTCTGGCCCCAGCTCAAACACGTGCACCTGTACCTCCTGTTGCATGGGCTGGCTTAGCCCGTGAATGAACTTTCCGATCAGCTGTCCCTGGTCCTGGAAGTTCATATCTGTAAAACTCATATTATATAGATTGTGTAGGCTATAGTGGGGTAGACACTATGGGGTACAGTTTCCTAGGGTTTCCTACTTGTACCCAACTTTGTGCTAGTTCATTCATTCCTCATTCTTCACATGGTATAGAGCAGGTTCCCTAGTGGGAACGCTTCCTTGGGCCCACCACTGAAAACTTCCTTTCTGACCGGAGCGCCAGTCGCTCCTGCCCGAGGCGCGCCTTTTTGCCGCCCTTTCCAGGCCCCTAGTGGCCCCGAGCGGCCTCGTCGACGCCCCCAAGCGGCCCTGTTACCGCCCCTACGCGGCCCCGTCGCCGCCCTTAGCGGCCCCGTCGCCGCCCCTAGCGGCCCCGTCGCCGCCTCTCACCCTACGCGGCCTCGTCGCCGCCTCTCACCCTACGCGGCCCCGTCGCCGCCCCTACGCGGCCCTGTCGCCGCCCCTCCGCGGCCCCGTCGCCGCCCTTAGCGGCCCCGTCGCTGCCCCTAGCGGCCCCGTCATCGCCTCTCACCCTACGCGGCCCCGTCGCCGCCCCTACGCGGCCCCGACGCCGCCCCTAGTGGCCACGTCGCCGCCCCTATCGGCCCCGTCGCCGCCTCTCACCCTACGCGGCCCCGTCGCCGCCCATACGCGGCACCGTCGCCGCTCCTAGCGGCCTCGTCGCTGCCCCCTAGCGGCCCCGTCGCTGCCCCTCACCCTAAGCGGCCCCGTCGCTGCCCCTAAGCGGCCCCGTCGCCGACCCTAAGCGGCCCCGTTGCCGCCCCTACGCAGCCCTGTCGCTGCCTCTAAGCGGCCGTGTCGCCGCCACTACACGGCCCCGTCGCCGCTCCCCTCTCTAAGCGGCCCCGTCGCCGCCCCTAACGGCCCCAACGCCGCCCCTACCAAGCAGCCCAGCAGCAGAGCCGCCGAGCCGCCCAACAGCCGAGCCGCCCAGCAGCCGAGCCACCGAGCCGCCCAGCAGCCGAGCCGCCGAGCCGCTCAGTGGCCGAACCGCCGAGCCGCCCAGCAGCCGAGCCGCCCAGCAGTCGAGCCGCCCAGCAGCCGAGCCACTTAGCAGCCGAGCCGCCCTGCCGTCGAGCCGCTTCTCGTCCTACCGGCGCGCCCATGCCCTACTTACTTCGACTGGTGAGCTCACTCCTTGCTAGGCCACTGCAGTCATGGCTACCCCCAGTGTTCTTACCTTTGATACTAAGGGTCGTGCTGTTGACTTTGAGGTCTAGGTCGATGACCTCCAGCTGTTCCTCCAGTGCAATAGGGCAGACGGCCTCTCCCTGTTCGACCTCACCTCTGTTGCCTCCCCTGCCCCGCCTGCCACTGCTGACAGCACTGTTCGCTCACAATGGGCCACACGCGATGCTGCTGCCCGTCTTGCTGTGCGTCGCCACTTACCGACCACTAAGCGTGCGCACTTTAGCCAGTACAAGAGAGCTCAGACCTTGTACGACGCTGTAGTTGCACGCTACTCTTCCCTGTCACTGCTGCACTGAGCCGCCTCATGCTACCGTACCTCTTCCCTGACCTTGCTGTCTTTCCCACAATCGCTGACCTCATTACGCACCTCCACACTAGTGACACTCGCTACTGCGCTGCACTTCCCACTGAGTTGTGCGCCAAGAGCCCCCCCCCCCCATGTACATCACCCTCTACTACATAGTCACACGGCTCCCTGACTCTCTTCGCTTAGTCAGGGACCACTTCCTCTCAGTTTGCCCGACCACACTCACCGTTGACCTCCTCGAGGAGCGCCTCCTAGCAGCAGAGAAAAGCATAGTCGCTGTAGGAGCCTCTCGTGGTGACCCTCGCACCCCCGTCTTTGAGGGGTGTTCCCCCTCCCCCCTCTTGCCCTCTGTTGCTTCTGCTACTGCTGCCGACCTCGTTGGTTTCTACGAGGTCGGCGCTGCGTCCGCCCCTAGCGGGAGACGCCGCACCGGCAAGGGCAAGGGGGGCAAGGGAGCTGGAGGGGCTAGCGGGGGCGGTGGAGGTGGTGGTGGTGGCAGTGGAGGGGGTAGGGGTGGTGGTGGGAGTGGTGGCGGGGGTGGCGGCGGCGGTGGCAGCAGTGGAGGTGGAGGAGGCGGCGGTGGTGGCGGAGGGAGCGGAGGCGGCGGAGGTGGCGGAGGTGGCAGAGGCGGCGGAGGCGGCGGCGGAGGCGGCGGTGGAGCTGGTCGCGACTCTGTGCAGAGGAGTGGGTCCGGTGGTGGTCCGCGCCAGCACCAGCAGCGCGGTCGTGAGACCCTGTCCCCTCAGCAGCTTCGTGAGTGGTACGCTGCGCGGTGGGGGTACTGGTCCCTGCACTTACGTCCTCCGTACCGGCGACCGCGCTGGTGAGTAGTGCGGGGGCCCGCACTCCACCCAGCGCTGCTTCGGCCGCTTGACGGACGCGTGGCGTCACCAGTTCCCTGAGGCGTCAGAGATCCCTCGCTGGGGAGATCTGTCTAGGGCGGGGGTTGCCATCTTTGATCTTGACTATGATGCTATCCTTGCTGCCATGTATGCTGTGACTGTCAACGGGAGCGTTGTAAGGCCCAGTCCTCGCTTGGGCGGAGCCAACCTTGTGGTCGGATGTGCAGGGGCTGCAACCGACCTGCAGCAGTGGGCACGGGGGCCACTGCAAGGGCGCCCAGCTGGAGGGCGCCTGATTGGAGGGCGCCGAGCAGGAGGACGCCGCCCTGGACGCCTGGTTGGTGTCCCGGACGCCTGGACGGCGTCCTGGGAAGCTAGACGCCGAGCTGGGCGTCGCCACGACTACCCGGGCGCCTGGTCGACGTCGTGGGCGCCTGCACGGCCTTCTGGAAGGACAGACGCCGACCTAGGCGTCTGCACGGCGCCCTGGGGTCCAGACGCCGACCTGGGCGTCTCAGGGGGCCCACACACCGACCTGGGCGTCTGGTCGGCGTCCTGGGAGGAGGGACGCCGACTTGGAGGTTCGGAAGGTGTCCTGGGCGCCTGGACGCCGGACTGGGGACGCCGGGCATGCGTGGCCGGCTACGGACTGCGCTGGTCGGCCAGGCGTGGTTGCCTGGTCGACTGGGATACCCGCGCGACGTGCGCAAGTGTCGCCAAGGTGGAGTCTGCGATGCTGACCTCGGAGGTGGTATCCCGAGGTCGACGTGGCTGGTGGGCGCAGTCACTGGCGTGGAATCTGCCAGGCGTCTGCGCTGTGCTCGTGACAAGGTGTGGAGCGCCAACCAGCTGCGCGCACCTGCGAAGCACGTGTACCGTTGTCCTGCGGGTGCAACGCTGTGCAGCCGACTTGGTGCAGCGCTGGCACACCGTGGACTTGCTACGTTGGCGAACCGCTACTCTGCAACGCTGGAGCGGTGCGAGCGCTGCTGCGCTGGAGCGCGGTCGACCGTGCTGTGCTGGAGGTCGACCAGCAGCCTAGCTAGCACTGATGTAGTCTGTGATGCCAATGTTGTTGCTATCATTGTTGTCATGTTTTCCTAGTGAAACTCTTGCCATTTCTCCCCGTGAACTAGCAAGCAGCGTGAACACAAGGAAACGACTAAGTGAATGAATGCAGAGATCAAACAAGCACACATGCCTAGCCCATAGCCTAGCTTCCGTTGCAGCAGTTATCTCCGCATGGTGCGGTGAGCGTGGACTACACCGCGACGTAGTTCAGTCTAGCCGACTTCGCACTTACCGATAGTGTTCGTAGACCGGCAGCCGTGCAGTCACTAGCGTGCGCGTAGGCGACGCCGAGGTGATGGACACACTCGAGGGACGGGTGGAGGATGCGAGGAGACGCCATGAGGCACAGGAGTACGGGGCGATACCCTGGGCAGTCGTTGAGGCAGGACTCCGCTCCATGTGGGCGATGGAACATCCCTCTTCACGACCAGCTTCTCTTCGACCGGTGACCAACGAAGGCGGCGTCGACGTGGGCGTCAACGCCGGAGGTGGCCAAGTTGGCAGCAGTGCGGGAGACACGTCGAGGCAGCGAGGTGTGATACACTCCGGTGAAGCCAGCGGCGTTCAGGCGCGAGGGATGCAGTCGTCGGCGGCTGCAGGCTCCTCGCAGGGCGACGCCGGTGGGCGTCGAAGTGGTTTGTTGCCGATGTCGGCGACCCAGGTGACAACGGGTGGGATCGCACCGAGCTACGGCTACTTCAAGTTTACGCCGGACAGGATCTTGGTCACCCCGCCACTCGTTGGTCGACAAGACATCCTCACCTGGAAGGAAGCCATCGAGCCCCAGCTGGAGATGGCCGGGCTGATCGGCTTTGCTCGAGGGACCGTGGCGACGCCGGGGGAGCACCACCCCGACCTGCGTGCAGAGTTTCGCGCCGTGCAGTTGTTGACCTTCACGGTCATCTCGCGGTGCTGCTCGCCGGGCGTGTAGATTGCCTTGAAGTGGTGCCGAGAGTACCTCGACGCCGGCCACCGGGCGTGGAACTTCATCGAGTCGACCTATCAAGTCACCGACGACTTGTTCATCGCTCAGATAGAGGGACAGCTGACGCATCTGAGCATGGGCGACGAGGAGACGGCGACCGGCTACTGCAACCGGGCCCGGCGAATTCTCGCCACCATCAGGATGGCCGGCGCGCAGTACTCGACGGCGTCGTACGTCACCCACGACATGCAGGGACTCTCGAGCAGCTACAACCTGCTAAAGCGGCTGTCCATGGCGCCGAGCACGACGGCGACTCTCAACGAGGACAACTTGACCTCGTATATCCTGCAGGACGAGGCGATGCAGGAGGCCGAGCGATCCCAGGAGCTCTTGGCGCAGGCCAACTTCGTCGCCCCGACGTAGCAAGGAGGCCGACCAGGGCAGCGTGGGCAGTCGGGCGGTGGCGGTAGCAGTGGCTGGAAGCCGAGCAAGGACGCCGACAAGAAGATGTCGGCCAAAGACAGCAGTCGAGGAGGAGGAGGTTGACGACGGGAGTGCTGGCTGTGCGGCGACCCCGACCACCTCTCCTACAAGTGCCCCGACCGCAGTGACTCCGACGACGACGACGCCAAGGGAGGCCGCGGGAGGTCTGGCAGTCATCGCCCTCGTCGAGGAGGAAACAAGCCGCGCAAGGAGAAGCAGTCGACAACGTCGACCTCGGCGAAGGACGCCGACTCCTCTGCAGGCGGCAAGGGGCGGGACGACAAGACGCCGTCGTGCTCGCTGGTCGGCATCGTGGAGCCGACCGTCTCGCTGGCGCCAGAGGCCGGGGAGGAATTCAAGGCGGTGGTGGCAGCTGTGCAGGCGAACCCAGCGGTGGTCCTGCTCGACAGCGGTTGCTCCCACCACCTGATGGGGACGAATGAAGTCTTCGTCGACCTGCAGCCGAGCAGCTCCATCAAGCACGTTCGCGGCTTCAATGGGGCACTGCAGAACGTCCAGGGCCGCGGCACCGTCGCTTTGCAAGGGGAGGCCGGGAAGCAGGTGCTCATCCCCGACGTGCTGTACGTCCCGGGTGTGCGGGCAAACTTGCTTTCAGCCGGCCAGCTGAAGGAGCACGGCGTGAAGCTGCAGGAGGACGGCGACGGGATGCTGCTCGTCTTGGCAGCAGGGGAGGTGCTCGGTCAGGCGACGTACACCGGGCGTGTCCTCTGCACCGATCTGCGCCCCTGCTCGGCCACGCCGACAAAGCCTACCACGGAGGTAGTGGCCTTGCGCGCGATCGTCTCGGCGACGAAGGCATCTCCGGACAGGATGCACACAAGGCTTGCGCACGTCAGCATGGACACCATCAGGAACTCGGCGAAGAACGAGGTCGCCATTGGGCTGGACCTCAAGTCGGCGACGGGCGCCGACTCACCGTGTGTCTCGTGCGTCGGCGAGAAGCTGGCGCGGCACACTTTCCCTGACCAAGGCTCCGACGCCGACGACGTGCTAGCCGTCGTGCACATCGACTTGTGCGGGCCGTTCCGCGTGACTGCCAAGGATGGCAGCCTGTACTTCTTGCTGCTGAAGGACCGCAAGACCCGCTACGTGTGGGTGAAGCCGGTCGCCAAGAAGTCAGATGCGTTGCCGGTGTTCGTGCAGTGGCTGGCGGTGGCTGAGCGGCAGACAAGGAAGTCGGTATTGATGCTGCGCTCTGACCGAGGAGGGGAGTTCCTCGGGAAGCAGTTCACCAACTTTGTGAACGGCAAGGGGATCGTCCACGATCTGACCTGCCTATACACCCCGCAGCAGAACGGCATGGCGGAGCGGGAGATGAGGATGGTGGTGGAGTCGGTGCGGACGATGCTGCTGCACATGGGCTTGCAGCACCACTGGTGGCACCTCGCTCTCCGACAGGCCGTCTGGGTCCGCAACTGCCTTGAGAGGTCGGCGCTGCCGCCGGGGACAACGCCGTACCAACTGCTGACCGGGAAGAAGCCCGACTTGTCGCTGGCGCGGGTGTGGGGCTGCATGGCGCAGTTCTTGGTCCCTGAGCAGTAGCGTGGAGGCAAGCTGCAGCCCAAGGCTCGGTGGGGCCTTCACCTCGGCGTGTCGGGGGAGAGCAAGGGCTGGGAGCTCCTCGACATTGCCGACAACCGGGTTGTCACCACGTCGGACGTGGTGTTCTACGAGAGCATGTCGCTGGAGGTGTGGAAGTCAGCGCACGGGCCGGCGTCAGGGCGGATGCCGGTTCCCCCGCCAACGGACACCTCGACGGCGACCCCGTCTCTACTTGCCGAGGTCGGTGAGGTTGCTGGTGAGGACGCCGAGGACATCCCCGCTCCTTGCACTCCACCTGCCCCTCCCCTTGTTGCCGACTTGCATGGGCTGACCTTGCTGTCAGCCTCCGGCGATGAGGGGAGACGGGGTGCGTCACCTGTGGCGCCGGTCCCAAGCATCGCCGGTGGCCAACGTGCTGCTGTGCAAGGCGGCACGGGAGCGAAGCTGACGCCGACCGGGAGGCAGCAGGTGGTGCAGCCAACTTCGGTGAAGGAGACATCTGCAGAACAGCAGCTGACCAAGGAGCACGCAGCAGCGACGCCGATCAAGGAGCAGTTGGCGACCGGGTCGTCGGCAGGGGAGCCGACCACATGGGAGAAGTCGGCTGGGACGCCGACCACAGGGGAGCAGTCGGCTGCGACGCCGGCTGAGGAGCAGCAGGATGCCGAGGGCAGCGACGACAAAGACGATGGAGGGGACGCCGAGGAGGTCCAGCCAGAACCACGGCGTTCAGGCCGACTTCGGAGGCCGCCTGACTTCTTCGTCCCCGCTGCCTTCACCACGGTGTACGACGTGGACGATGAGGCCGACGACCTGCTGTACGACGACGCCGAGGAGGATGAGGAGTTTCCAGAGCTCGACCCCGATATGCTAGCTGACCCCGAGCACCGTTGGGACATCTCGACGATGTCGGTGAAGGAGGCGTTGGCGAGCTGGAAGGGCC